GCAGAAACTTGTTAAAAGGAATCAGGAAGGAGTCTGCAGGAGCTGGGCAGTGCTCTGGTGGCTTTTTTTAAGGCTCAGGAAGTTTTCAGCACATGGTGGTGGCTCCCATCAGAGCCTCTGAGGTCCCTGATGGCTGGGGACGGGTCAGCGAGTGATGGTGATGCCTGATGATTTTTGCTTTTCCTTTTTACGCTTTCTGTACCCTCTATGCATCCGCCTGTACCCCTTAGCCCACATGCTTGTAATTCCTGTACTCTGATATTCCAGCTCAGTTTAGGAGTTCTGCTAGACAGAGAGACCAAACATCCTGAGGAAGGGCTCAGTGTGCCCTGTGCTGTCTTAAACCTGAGCTCAGCCTTGGGTGAAGCCTTCTGCCCAGAACATCTTGTGTAAACTGGGCTCTGGCCTCTTCCAGAGGGGGATTCATTAGAATAGGGGGACATTACTGCATTTGTGAAGTTTCTTATTGAGGAATCCTAGATAAATATGCTAATTCCTGAAACCTATAAACTTATATCCGTATTGTACACGGGAGTGCATTCTGCCATCAAGTTGTGTACCTGGAATCCCAAATACCAAATATCCCCTTAACCATGTCTGTGTCATTAGTAAAAACTGGCCTTTCAAGGCAACAATGGGAAGGAGTGAGATGTCACCTCTGCTGCCACATCTCCTCATTTTCACAAGCTGAGCCTGTTCTTCTCCATCTTCAGCAAAGCCTTATCACCCAGAAGAGTTTTGGAACAACTCATCCCCCCCTCAATGAGCCTCTCCCATGAATTCCTGTCCCACAGCTCTGTAGGATCCCTTGGAAGGGGACACTCCTCATCTCCCTAAAGCATCCCTTTGTCCCCCTGCCCCTTTTTCTGTGCCCAGGGTGACCTGACCAACCTGGTGCACGGCAGCCACTGCTCCAAGTACCGCCTGACGCGGATCCCGGGCACCAACGCCTTCGTGGGCATTGTCAACGAGACCTGCGACTCGCTGGCCTTCTGTGCCTGCAGCATGGTGGACAGGCTGTGCCTCAACTGCCACAGGTGACAGGGCTGGGACACGCCTTTCCTCGTCCTCAGGGTGAGGGTTGGAGGGACACGCTGAGTTCTGAGCTMAATCGGTGCAAAATTGGGGAAAACAAAGGAGCTGCTGTGCCTGTGAGAGCTGCAGGGACCTGGGTGTCCCTGCCAGGGTGTCACAGTTTAACCAGGGGAGATTGGTAGGTAAAAATCCCTGATAAATTGGATGTCCCTGTGGGTCAGCTCTTCCCTCTGGTACATAAATTCCATGATTTCCTGTGGATTGGCAGTTTTTCATCGAGGGGATCCAGGAGGTTTTGCCCACACCATCCTGGTGTGTTTGAGGTGCTGCCAGCAAGGATCCTCACAGCTCACCTGGGGGATTGGCTGCTTTTGGGATTGCAGAGCCTCTGTCACAGTGTCACCCTCAGTGCTGGCTCAGCACAGAGCAATCCCCACTCCTGGGGAAGGAGAGGAATCCCTGCACAGCCTTTTCCACGGAGCTGCTGCCTCTCAGGGATAAAATCCCACTGGTGCCTGATGGTTTTTGGTTTTGTACCCTGCAGGATGGAACAGAACGAGTGCGAGTGTCCCTGTGAATGTCCCCTGGAGGTGAACGAGTGCACCGGGAACCTGACCAACGCCGAGAGCCGGTGAGAGCCGCGATAAATCCCCGCCTCGTCCTGCTCACTAAATTAATCTGTTTAATTTAGTGCAATTAAGCAGATGAGATGTAACAAATAAAGGAGATGATTTGAATTTRAGTGCTTCTGTAACCCCTTGTGCAATGCAGGAACCCGAGCTGTGAGGTGCATCAGGAGCCCATGACGTTCACAGCCATCGATCCCAACCTGCAGGACGCACTCCCCCAGTGCATCAACACCCAGTGCAACCAGAGGACGGAGAGTGGGTAAGGTGCCCTTCCCCACACTCAGAATGCACTCCTGTGGGAATAATCTAGTGGGAATTGTTCTTTCTTACATGTTTTAAAGGAAAAAAWATGGGAAAAATAAAGTTTGATGCCAGGAGGTTCTGCTCCTGGCATTGAGGGCTCATTTTTGCTGGTTATGAGCAGTCTCCACAGACCTGAGATGGGTAAAACACACCATGCTCTCACCAGACTTCCCAAATCCTCTCTTCCATCTTCAAAGGCTGCAGAGAAAGGGTAGAACTGCAGCCAGACTTCACCACGCTGAGAAATGTCTTATTGGAGGAATCACAAGTAGGATTCTCCCCTTGCTCAGGCTGCAGGAAAAACCCAGAGCAGACAGAGCTGGGAAATGGACACTGGAGATGCAGCTTCCCTGTGTAACTTCCCTTGTGGCATTYCAGCACTTCCATGGAATTTTTTCTGGCTAAGCCCACGTAGTTGAGGGTTTACAGCTGACTTTGGCCTCCCTCTGTCTCGTGGTTCTAAACCAGACTGAGATTTGCAATGGAGAGGGGTTTGACTGCAGAGTGACGGTGTTTTCCTTGGATCTTGCTGYGCAGGGATTGCTTTGGAGTGCTGGACTGCGAGTGGTGCATGGTGGACAGCGATGGCAAGACCCACCTGGACAAATCCTACTGTGCCCCTCAGAAGGAGTGTTTTGGTGGCATCGTGGGAGCCAAGAGTCCCTACGTGGATGATTTGGGAGCAATAGGTAACTCAGCATTTCAGTTACTCAGCATTTCTGAGCCTGTGGCTGTTCCAGAACATGCAGGGGGTTCTTCACAGAAYGTTCAYCTCTTATSCAATGTTCTGYTTTGGATCTYRCCTGACCTCTGGCTYCAGTTCTGAYCAGCATCACATCCTCYTGCRAACTCTCTAATAACTTCTTTATTTCCACTAAATAAATCTATTTACAGGGAGAGTGCACCAGGCAGGTAAAATGTGAATGTCCCCTTTCTGAAAACCCTGATGTGGAGCTGAGTGTAACTCCACATCCCTGTCTTTGAGATGCACCCTCTCTGAATTCCTTCTCCTATTCCCACTGTGCCCAGTGGAGCACCCAGAAATCCTCGCAGATTGTTGATTTAACCCTTTCCTCCTCGAAGATGGTTGATTTAACCCTTTCCTCCTCGCAGATTGTTGATTTAACCCTTCTTGCAGAGCTCTGACGGTGCTGTTCTCCCTCTGCTTTGTCCCTTTTGCTGCAGGAGATGAGGTGATCACCCTGAACGTGATCAAGAGCACCCCAAAATCCTCACAGATTGTTAATTTAACCCTTTCCTCCTCACAGATTAATTTAACCCTTCCCTCCTCACAGATTGTTGATTTAACCCCTCCTCCTCACATATTGATTTAACCCCTTCCTTCTCGGAGATTGTTGATTTAACCCTTCCTGCAGAACTCTGACGGTGCTGTTCTCCCTCTGCTTTGTCCTTTTTGCTGCAGGAGATGAGGTGATCACCCTGAACATGATCAAGAGCACCCAGAAATCCTCGAAGATTGTTAATGTAACCCTTTCCTCCTCACACATTGATTTAACCCTTTCCTCCTCACAGATTGATTTAACCCTTTCCTCCTCACAGATTGTTGATTTAACCCTTCTTGCAGAGCTCTGACGGTGCTGTTCTCCCTCTGCTTTGTCCTTTTTGCTGCAGGAGACGAGGTGATCACCCTGAACATGATCAAGAGTGCCCCGGTGGGCCCGGTGGCCGGTGGTATTATGGGCTGTATCATGGTGCTGGTGCTGGCYGTGTACGCGTACCGGCACCAGATCCACCGCCGCAGCCACCAGCACATGTCCCCGCTGGCAGCACAGGGTGAGCTCCCAGCTGGGGTCACGGGGGGAGGAAAATCCCARGAATGCAATAAACCCAAAGGAAAGCAATGCCAGAGGTTCGCTTTCCTGGTTTGTTGTGAGTTTGGAGCTGCGGGGAGCCGGGCTGGCGCTGGGGCTGTGTCTTGCTGCCCTCTCCTGGTGCAGCCAGAGCTGCTGCTGCTGCCCAGGGAGCCTGCCCAGACCTGAAAGGAGATAAACTGAGCTTTGCCAGAGCTCAGACTAATCCCAGCTTTCTGCWGCTCGGCCCAGCAGAGCCATGGCCTGGGTTTGTCTTGTGCAGCTTCTGGCACTGACACATTTTTCCCTTTCGCTTTGGGTTTGGGGCTTTTTTCACTTGTGTGTCCTGGTTCTGGTCCATGTGATGTTCATGGAATGTCACTGCACAGAGAGATAAAACCACTGAAGCCTGAGAGGCAAAACTGTGCTGGGAGAAGGGATTCTGGTACAAAGATAAAGATCCAGGGGTGAGAACACCTGGAATTGTCCCAGGCCAGGCTGGACGGGGCTTGGAGCACCCTGGGACAGTGGAAGGGATTCCTGCCAGGGCAGGGGGTGGCACTGGATGGGCTTTAAAGATGCCTTCCAGCCCAAACCAGTCTGGGAATTTGGGTGTGATTGGAGCTAATTCCCTCTGTATCTGATCATCCCCAGCTCTGTTCCAAATCAGCTCAGAGCTGCAAAGTGRGGCCCTTTTGGGAGAGGTGGGATGTGGCATTTCCCTGCTATCCCTGCTGTCAGCCCCATCCCTGCTGGAA